TAACCTACCAAAGGCAATACGGTTTCGTCTTCGTTGTATCGCTGATGCTCTGGCCACTCACATAGAAAAACCGGAGCTGTGCATAAAAAAGAGGATTACTCAACCACTTCTACCGTCACGGTAACAACGTTTTTGATTTTGATGACTTAATTTTGTTTGAGTAGATTGAAATTGGAATTCGCCGAAAAGAGTCTCTTCGCTGAATGTCTTCTCTTTTTCATATGACTCAATGGGGATTTTCAATCTACTCAAACGTTGCAAGGACCCAGTGACGGTGAAGGAGCTGGATGGTTTCCTGCGTTACTCCGTCAAGCTTGCGGTAGCGGAGACAAAGATTGATTTCTTAAGAGATTGTATAGATCGACATGAGTATCCAAAGATGTATTGGAAGTCGCTGAGACGCAACCACATCCAACCGAATACCAGAACACTCAGATGACACACACGAAACAACATCGACTCCATTCAATCACGCGTCCCTGAGCTAGAGCGAAACGTCTACTCAAGAGCTCATGCAGTCGAAGACTTAGATCAAGAACTACGCCATTCCTTCGAAGAATATGTACAACAAGTCACTCAGAAAGAATGTAACAAGACTAAAGCAGATCTTCTCAAAAGCCTAAAGCCTACAATTAATACCGAATCTCCGTTCCCAAGCAATCCAGAAAAGTACGTATTCAATCTTTCAGACATCACACTGCCTACTACTCAACTAGAGGCACTATCTCTAGGTCCGAAATTCTGCGTAAAACCACCAAGTATTGACAAGCTACAATGCCAGGTTCAGTTCGAAAATCTAATAAACCAAACTTACGATCTCACACCTACATCAGACGAAAACCTACAACAATTCAAAGCATCAATCCTCGACTGTTGTCACAAGTTTATAAATACCAAACACAACGGAAGGTCCATCTTGACGAAGAGGCACCATAAGGAACTGAAAGTACTTATGAAAAACGAAGAGATTATGATATTACGTCCTGATAAAGGCGGAGGAATCGTAATCATGAATCGCAAGGACTATATCAGTAAAATGCTGACTATACTATCCGATGAATGCAAATTCACAAAACCGATCAACGAGAAAAACATGACTGAACAAACCGAACAAAAGCTAACGGACACCCTTCGTAAGTTGAAGACTGAATCCTTCATCAGCAACGAAATGTTTGAATCCCTTAGACCGTCTGGCTCAAATATACCACGACTTTACGGACTCCCGAAAGTACACAAGAAGGGTATCCCTCTCCGACCGATCCTCGACATGACCAATTCACCCTATCACCGCACAGCTCAATGGTTAGCAGATCTACTTGAACCAATCAGAAAACAAGTTTCCTGCCACACAGTTCGAGATTCATTCGACTTTACTGACTCAATCGAAAACATTAACGTATCCAACAAGACAATGATTTCATTAGATGTCACATCACTATTCACAAACGTTCCACTGACTGAAACAATATGCTATATATGCGAACTTATTCACTCCAAAGGAATAAACATCGGTATACCCACCGAGCATCTTAAAGAACTCCTACTGAGGTGTACCCTGAATGTTCAATTCTCTTTCAACAACGAAATATATCGCCAAAAGGATGGTATAGCTATGGGCTCACCACTAGGCCCTTTGCTTGCAGATTTTTTCATGGCAAAACTCGAAAACACATGCCTCAAGAAAATGATCAATACCCTCGAAATCTATAAGAGATACGTCGACGACACCTTTATTATCGTCAACAACGAAGAAAATCTAGACGACATCTTAAAGTCGTTTAACAACTGCCACCCTGCAATTCAGTTCACGATGGAGAAAGAGTCCAACTCCACAATATCTTTTCTTGACGTCCAACTAACCAGAAGAGAACAGGATGGAACACTGAGATCTATCCACAGAAAATCGACGTGGAACGGACAGCTTACTAACTTTCACAGTTGGGTACCACTATACACCAAACGAAACCTGATCCGTTCACTCAGCTACAGAGTTCGCAGAATTTGCACCCCGGACACCATAGAAGATGAACTGGACAACCTCAAGAGAATCCTCGTCGAGAATTGCTATCCAGAAAGATTTATTGCAAAATCTATGAATCCTAGACCACAAAAGCCGCCCATACTTATCGTCAAGAAAAAACTACTCTACATGAACCTCCAATTCAATGGAGATCTATCTGCGGAAACACTAAAAAATCGACTGTCGCGTTCACTTAAGAAGACCTTCTTCGCAGCTGAACTACGACTAACCTTCTCCACAAAACCTATGATTCATGTGAACGTGAAGGATAAGCTACCGCTGCTGGCCTCATCAATGTGCATTTATCAATTCACCTGCTCGTGTGGAGCCAGGTATGTTGGCCGTACCCAGCGCTCGCTTTCCAAACGTATCACCGAGCACTAACCAACATGGTTTTACAAAGGAGAAAATCGATGCCCCCGCAGTTCCATCTTAGAACATCTGATAGAATCCGGACACCAAGCTACACCGCAAACAAACTTCAAAGTCGTCTACAGAGTAAGAAGTAGTCTCCCTAAAGGTGTACGAATCAGACTTCTTCAAACTGCAGAAGCAATGGCGATTCACTTGCTAAGTCCTGAACTCTGCATACAGAAGAAGTTCGTTCAATCACTGCACTTGCAATGGACGTAATCTATCTTATTAGCCGACATGTAAATTCTACCTAATCTTTTCTTCTGTCTCTTCATTAGTATTATTTTGTCTTCTCAATTGTAACATTTTACATTTTCAACTTTCTTGTTCTCTACCCCCACCCGATTCAATCTCTCCACCCCACTACCACTGTTACTGACTTGAACAACGCTCAGTTTCTAGTCATTCATGTTACGTCATCCAACTTATTCACTCAATTTCACTTCTACTTAATGTCTACCTGTAATTACCTCTGTTGCTATCCTGACCTAAGTTGTAACATTTTAGCCAATTATATTACGTCATCTAGTTTTTTAACTCAGTCTTACTTTAGTTGCTGTCTGATTAACTTTGTCTCTATACTACATCATTCTTGTATTAACTAATCAATTATCTAAACTTGACAAACCTCATGTACACACACACACAAATATTTATATATAAATGCGATTGTACAGCTATGTGAATGAATTCGCCGAAAAGAGTCTCTTCGCTGAATGTATTCTCTTTTTCATACGACTTAATTTTGTTTATTTGCATGTTCTTTAAATGCTTATAATTCTTGTATTCATTTAGAACTCTTACGTAATTTCGTATTATCTAATTTGTCACTATGTGTATTCTGAGTAAAACTCACCCATCAAACTATTCATATTATTACATAACTTTTAACAAGTGATTGTGACAGCTCATCGCCTTTGTTACTATCCTGATTTCATTAACACCTAATTTTCATGAATGAATTTGTATTACGTAACTCCAATTACCGATCTTCACCTGTTTAGTTAAATTAACCATAAGAAATTGTATTTTCGTTTGAAAAAATTAATGCACACATACATACAAAATAACACATATATCTGCAACTGTACCGCTAAGAAAATGAGTTCGCCAAAAAGAGACTCTTCGCTGAAATACGTGTTTCCTTTTGATAAATGACTTTTTCATGCTTACGGGCCTGTGACATTAGTCGGTGCTGGTCTCTCTTCTCTCCAATCTGTTGATCTGACGGCATGTCAGGGAAACGCATCAACCACTATAGCCACACTAATCTCTGGTTGTCGACTGTCATCTACCAACAGTTTACTATCCACAGTTATTGACCACAACAGATACTTCCTGGGTTTAATATCTGTTCTACCCACCTCAATGACGCTTGATAGTTATCATCACACGGTGTCATATTATTAGCTGTGACTGACAGTCTGACATATGCGTTGTGCATTCCAGGTGACTGAGTACTAACTAATTCCGTCAGCCCGTTAACACGTTGACGCGAGTAGAAAAGTGTATTCATCCAGAAGGTGTAGCAAAATGTATACCTGAACTCAGAATATATGTATAAATACTACGTAATCCTTGTTTTCAACACATTCAGACGTGTAAAAACGATGGGATGGATTCATTGTATTTCAGTTTAACTACTGGTCACAGTTAGCACAGAGTAAATTTCTATCGCTACATTTCCTCACTAAATGTTCAATCCAAATGCCAATATAGTTATATTCAACGGCTTAACTGTACATCGAAAGTACTGCTGTCAAGCAGACTATCACGTTACCTATAGACACGCATATCTACCGTAAACGTTAAAATGTCCTCCGAAACTACTCATTCAAGAAAACATTTCATCCCATATCAGCATGATTCACTGGAACACACTAACAAACAAACGATTCATCTTTGCGAAGATATTCTGGATGTTCTACACTATTCACGTACGCAGCACTCACTGATACAATTTAAAATGAGAAGATCTGTAGTTCGCTGATATTCAGTTCTCCAGTGTTATGAGGTGTAGATTATCCCTATGCTAAACTCACTGATATTCCCTCTTTATTTCACTCAAAAAGTTTACAGGTCGAAGTAAGACACTTCAGGAATTATCTCAATAATTTAGAGATCTTATTTGTCACAAAGTTTAGTAGTCCGTAAATGTTTTATCACAACCAGTCACTGTTTAGTGATCGACATCCAGGGAATAACATGGTCAAGAAAGAACTACCTGGACTATACAACATATAGATACAGTCATCACCAGTTAGTCATTTTAAATCAGAAAGTATTTCCAGTTATCAATGATCAGACAGAATTAACGGATGTCAGACGAGATGCTAGTTCCGAAGGAATATGTCGCTATTGTTACCTACACAACTATTCCTGATGCTCTTTCATTCAAAACAATCTACCACAATATCAACTGCCTCGTTACAGTCTTCACCAACGTGAAGAATATTTGGGAGAAAACAAATAAATGTGAGCACAAATTTCGTGAGCTAATAATATTAGTAATAACAGTGGAAATAATAATGACAGAATGTACTCCAAACCAATCATTTGTATTTTATTTCACGGTTAACTCATAATGTTTAGTGACTATATATATCAAAAATACAAAACATGTTTATTCAGTGTGGAGAATACACTGGTCATTCACTCGAATTCCAAAAGAACACGCCAAGAAGTACCAGTCACTGTTCTACTTTTCTCACGATTAATCTAACGACCCATTTGGCTCGTTCTCTTGTCTTCGACGGAACTCGGCTTCTCGTTGCATAGCTGCTTCGACAGCCTTCTGTCGAGCCATCACCGACTGACAATAAAAAAAATGAATAATTACTTCAGTGATGAATTACTCTAAACATTCTGTATTTTGCACTCATCAATATCTTATCCTGGGTGGACTAATTGACGAGGTTTTACCTTTATTCACTTGTAGATGACAACGCCTCTTCGAACTAATGATACATCAATTGCCTCCTTTGACTTGTCAGTCCAACAACACATTGTTGGAAAACGTGAGTGTTGGAGAGGCGCTGCATTTCAGAACCACAAATATGAAATATTTGCATTGTACTTCACAAGCTTACCCTCCAACCGTCAGTTTTAGTGAATAAGATCTGGTCCAGTGTTTCAGTTTACACACAACATTATGATGTCACTGATTGTCAGAAATCATTCCATCATGGCCAATGCAACACTCTCTGTCAGTGAAGTGCTCAACACTTTCAAGCAGTTCACTCCATATCCTTAGACTAGGAGTCGAAGTAAATCAGTCTTACATTACACAACAGTGAACCGCATTCTAAGCATAGTAAGACACTTTGTCAATAACTTCGCTTAAAACAACCGCATTATCTGCGCATTATAAATCAATCGGACGCTTGATCACCGTTCAACTTTGTTGATTTTCAGGCCCATGGGTACTGCTCTCGTTGTCTCTATCACTTCAGATGAAACCGAGACAACTCGCTGGCATTTACCACTTTCTGTCGTACCTTTTCAATAGCTTTCACCAATGTTTCTGCACAACACTGGATATTATTCCAATCTACCTCACTACGAGTATTTCTATTTCACTCAGATATAAAAACACTTCTTGTGGGATCATCGTGAAGCTAGATACGCGAGGGTTGCGCATCTCCTTACTTTCCACATTGATTCACATGCAGACACAATCGAACACGGACTAATGCACGATTCGTGCTGATGCAGGTGTTCTTCCACCGCATCTGTTCAGAGATAACTTATATCCATATGAACGATTCTTGTCTACCGTTGTTTCAATGTCACCTGTTGTTAGGTGGAATAATGTTTGTCCTCATGGATACTAAGTATAAATAGGTGTTAGTCCGTACAAGGCTGTAAGAGTCAGTTGCCGTTGTCGATTCGCTGGCACACGATACTGCAGCCTCTTCCAATGTACTTTACAGACTGGCTACGCTTCTCCACTAAAGAAATAAATGCATCCGTCAAGAAGATTATATCAGACGGATTTAATTTCAGGAGGAACTAGAAGGCTTCTGATAAAGCATTACTTCCGTTTCTTCCGAAATACCATCCGACTGGCATAATTGTTACCTAGGGAATGGCACCAGCCGGCTCCTTACTGACCAATTCATCCAGACTGCTGTATATCCGAAATCTATCGCTACACCGATAAGTTCACAAGACCTAGCAAGCATATTCTTTCACATCCGTTGTGGGAATTTTGTATATCCTTGAGTTAGTCTATTTGGGAGAACTACAAACTACTACACCTTCTTCTTGTAGATCTGTTTCAGACACACTACATTTATCCGAAGACTGAGATAACTGGGACTTACTTTGCGAAGCTTTTTCTTCCATTTCGCTCAGTGCCTAGATGTTGAAAGTCTCAACGTCGATTGGACAACTTGATTTCAAATCACTAACATCAGTGCATTTCACTTAAATCTTCAACAACGGTCACACAGCTGAGAGAAGATGGGAACCGCAGTAGAGTAGACTAAACCAGCCTGTTTTATCCCTTCTACTTAGAGTGGGAAGGTAGCATAACTAGCTTACTGCATGTACTACACAATCATTTCACTGATGCTGCATACCTATCCGACAACGTTAGACTTCAAATACAGAACTCCACTACAATGCGAACAACCCCAACAATTTTGAAGAACAGCGTTTGGTCTCACCACTATCCAGACAACTATTGTGACACCGTAAGATCTACAACAACATTTGTTCTACCAAATGTAACCCATTTGGCTATTAACAAGTCACGCCAATTCGACAGCTATCGTCCACGAAATCTGCATGTACTGAGATGCCAAACAACATTATCCGGTCGTAAGTAATGACGTTTCCTGCTTGCTTTCATTCATCAGAAACGTCGGACTGCTATCCGACAACGAATACTTTCGTCTTGACATCATTTAAATACTAAAAGTGTAGACACATTTCACTACAAAAATAGTTTTGAGTGGTCAATAAGACTTATTTGAACCCTAGTACAATGAAAATGTTCACACAATTTGTAAAGGCTAAGCAACTAACCTCACTGACTCCATTAGAACACGTGGTGTTCGCTTGAGCATTGTATGGATTTGCTGTCAATTCATTTCGATTACATCTACTGTCAATCGACTGAGCAACAGCCGACGTAAGCGAAGCATTGCTTGACTGACCAGAATTTGAATCCAACGCATTCCCTTGATTTCGTCTACTAGCCACAGTATTTGTACGACGACTAGTAGTAGCTGACATTGTTCTAGAAGTTGTGATATTAGTAGTTGTGGTGGCTGTAGTTGAACAAGAAGAAGAAGGAGGTCGTATCGAAAGACGAGGAATACGACTAGTTGATGTGTTAGAAGAACTCATAACGACAGGATTACGTGCAGTTATTGCTCTTCGATTGGTAGTAGTAGCTGTAGTAGCAACCGTTGATGTTGTTGTTGCTGTTGTTGTGGTGCTGGTGGTTGAACCTTGTCGTGAATTCGTTGTACGAATCTGTCAATTGTATTAAAACAATCAATCCTCATTTCAAAATTAACACTCAATTGACGCATATACACAGACAAATTATCGAAATATTATCATTTCACTTTTTTCTAGTGAGTAATGTTACGTTTCATGGCTGTATGGTTATACACACAGTAATCGACTGACGAAAATGTTTATGATCCATTATATGGTAATTAAGAAACACAAATCTACGTATGTTTATTCACAAACATACACACAGTTATTCTATTGGAAAATGAGAATTTCCTGATGCCTTCTTCGATTCAGACAAAGTAGCTGATTTCCACTGACTTTCCCCTATTGAATAAAATCGGGGTAAAACTCAACGCATCATCAAGGCGTATGTCGTAGGACTTCATGGAGAAACTGATAACTGAAAACTCAAAAGTCTCGATAACTTATAAATGATAATCGTTTAACAAAAGTTGGCTAAGCAGTCTTGTGAATAATTCTTTGCTGTTTGAAAAGGTGGATGCTATGAGAAGTGGGTATGACGAATACAATTCGCTCCCAGTAATAGTTTTCCTTGATAAATTCAAGTTCATAACTGTCCATTACAAGAAGCATATATGGGTATGGTAGATAAGTTCAGAGAAAAAGTGAAAGGATATCAGCTGACAAGAAGAACAGCCACACGTAAAACATAAGTACTTCCAGGATAAACTGACTGTTCCAACTGATAAGATGTTCTCGAAGACGCAAAGCAACTAAAGCACTACATAGACAGGTTTTATTATTTTAGTCGGCTGAGCAACTTTCTTTTCGTCTATACTCTCATCTAAAATGCTGAACAAGCTGTCACTCCTCAAAAGTCATTCGCCATAAGACCGTAAACTCTTATTCACTGCAGTCATCATTGCATGCATTTGTCATACTCCAACAGAAGTAACAGGAAATATTTCTATTCTGCTTAGATTTATTCAACTGGTCAGTTGTAGTTTATGGGATGAAATCATCAAATATTCTATATGACTGAGTGTTAAGATTGCTAAGCATTGAGTTCAATTTAGCCTTCTCCAGACTGTTTACACTTAGAAATCTGGAGCAATCGGTTCTCTTCATAATTTCCCACAAGAAAAGTTAGGCAGGCATAATTTATCTGACAAATGAAGTGTATATGATGAATACATTTCAAACATTTTGACCATACACCCATTTGTCATACAGACTGACACAAAAGTGTTATGACAGACCGTTCAAATGGTGACTAAAGTGAGAGTCATGAGGCGCCCAACAAGTCATTTCATTGGTATTTAGTCTACCAAAGAGCATAAATCAACCTCTGTAATCATATTGAAACATAAGACGGAATTTATTGCTTGAATGTGTTCATGTACTGGCTTCTGATCAACAGAGACACAGTGATGTAGGGAAGATCTTCTGTTTATCGCGTCACTAACTTGAAGGTTAATTTCATTACCTCGAGAATACTGTGTGAAACTAATCTAAGTATCCATTTACTAATTTACAATCTCTACTATTCCTTCCATTCCTTCTCTTCATGCGAAATACACATAAGTGGCAGTAAAGGTATATACAAATACGCATATTACTCGCGAAGACACAAACGATGATGCCACCAAATGTACGCTCAGTCATGCAGAGCCATGAGATAACATACCTGTTCCTGAGCACCTGAAGTGGAAGCACCAAGTCGTGGACGAATAGCTCGTACAGGTGCGGATGCTGCACTTGTTACACTAACTGGCTGGTCCCTTATTCGAAGAGCAGCAAGTCTCAAGCGACTCAGTCCAGTCCGAACTCCAGCCCGACATTTCGGGCATGTCGTCGATAGTTTCAGCCAAATGTCGATGCATTTCATGTGGAACGCATGACCACAAGGAAGATGTCGAAGCCGATCATTATTTTGATATTCATCTGAATGCAAAATACAGTAGTTAGTTCTATTAAGAAGTACCACATCAAAATGAAACAAGTATATCAATGATACAAATCAATGCATTTGGAGTGCTCATAATACCTAGCGGAATTCTTCAGGTATCATCACATGTATAAATGTAGAGTCGATTAGATATTATCATCAAATAAGTGTTTGTGGCGATATAATTCTCAGTTTTCTATAACAGTCAAACTTCAAAGATTTTGTGAAGATATGAAATCCTTAAATCGATCGCGTTGGATGAATCGTTCCATCTCTTAATCACCAGTTAATTACATCCTATATCTCATCTGGAATCTCAGTTCTCATCAGTGATCATCCTTCAAATTATCCTTTGACTGTGTGAACTAAGGGTGTTGTGCATTGTCCAACGAATTAACTCACTGAAGATGCAGATAAATCTAGCTGTTCAGTCCTAAACGTGACTATATCCCAAGTCCAAGAGTCTAGTGCTAGCCATCGCTAACTGAATTAATCCACCCCACTGATCTGTGATGAAGAGCATGAGCTACACAAAAATAATCAAATGTTACTCAGCGACCACTCGCAGTTGGCTGCAATTGACAATGAGCCACACCTATTATGTGACCGCTAGTGACACAAGCTGGCTGCCAAAACCTCGGTAGATGGAGTAGGTTCAATGCAGTCCCAACATGACATTCCATGATAATACAGCATAACATTCATTCGAATAAAACATTACGTCTAATTCCAATCTCCTTATTCAATGTTACTATAATCATTCTCATGAAATTGACTGACTTTCGATCTGGAAAAGGTGTCCTTCACCCAGAGTAAACGAAGGATATGTCGATCGTTAACATCACCTGGAAATAAAACATGTGGAATTACATATCAGAAAGAATGAGTGGATAAATTGCGAAACTCGATTAAGTAGTCTTTCATAATCTGCAAACAACAAGTGACGATGGACAAGTAGAAATATAACAGCCTAAGCCACACTAACCTCGAATTTAGATAAGCGAAAAGTCGTATAATCGTGACAAAATGTTTAAAAGTACATTGCACACATGATATCATGCTGGAGAACTGTCTCCTATGTGTTGTAGGAATGCTTCCCATTTACACCAAGGGCAACCAATACAGAAATCCTACCATGCTCCATAGGTGTATTCAGCCAGGTACTTTCGGATCCCTCGACATTCCTTACTCTCTTCTTCAATGAACCTCTAACCCTGAACATTAACAGCAAAATGTACCTTGGATGTAAGTAGAATATTGTACCTATCTTCACGAATTGATTTTCTCTTGTGGCATGATTTCATTTGCAATGAACTTTCCTAGCATCCCTTAAATGAAATTCCTTCTTGAAAACCAACTTTTGGCATATCTTCACATTGGCTGTGATAATTCAACTTCATAGATGATCGATGTTCAGAAATTATTATTACTGTTATTATTATCATTATTATTAGCAGTGGAAGCCCTCTTCTATCATCTCATAGGAATCATTGACTTTACAGGCATTTTTCATGACCTTTCATAATACTATTTAACTGCACAGCTTTGTAATGAAGTTGAGAAAAAAGCATTCGCTCCTAACTTATGCCTTTTTCATGGTGTGAAAATAGTCAATTTTTCAAAATTAAACCCACTGGCTCTTACGTAATTCCAACTTGAACTGTCTAATTTCGCAATTTGCTAATTTCACGGGTAGTAATTTCAACTAAACGAAACTTAATCCGTTCACTAAGCCACAGAATACGTAGAATTTGCAGCCTGGACGCCATAGAAGATGAAATGAACACTCTTAAGAAAATCCTCCTTGAAAATGGCTATCCAGAAAGATTTATCACAAAATCAATGAAACCCAGACCAGAGAAGCCGTCCACACCCAGTGCTCCAAAAAGACTTCTCTATATGAACCTACAGTTCAATGGAGACCAATCTACAGAAATACTGAGAAATCGGCTCTCCCGCTCATTGAAGAAAACCTTCGTTGCAGCTGAATTACGACTGACGTTCTCCGCGAGACCAATGATTCGTATGTCCGTGAAGGATAAGCTACCGCTGTTGGCCTCATCTATGTGCATCTACCAATTCACCTGCTCGTGTGGAGCCAGGTATATCGGCCGTACTCAGCGTTCGCTATCCAAACGCGTCAACGAACATTTACCTTCATGGTTTTATAAAGGAGAAAACCGATGCCCCCGCAGCTCGATCCTTGAACATTTGATCGACTCTGGACACCAAGTCAAACCAGAAGTAAACTTCAAAGTTATCTACAGAATACAAGGCAATCTTGCTAAAAGTGTACGGATCAAACTTCTCCACATCGCAGAAGCAATGGCAATTCATCTGCTAAATCCTGAACTTTGCATACAAAAGAAATTCGTTCATTCATTAAATCTACAATGGACGTAATCTTTCTTAATTTCAGTCTTACTAATTGTATTATTTTGTCTCTTGCATTTTATTATTTCACATCTTCACTTATATTATTCTCTACCCCACCCTTTTGTAATCTCTACCCTCATTAACAATGTTACTAACTTGACCCACGTCCAATTTCTAGTCAACTGAGTTACGTCATCCGATTAACTTACTTATTTTCAACTGTATTATTCTCTAACCCCACCCTTACTTGATTTTAAACACCACTCATTAACACTGTTTCCAACCTGACCTCATCTGAATTCTACTCACTTAATCAATTCTATTTTATTTTCCATCTTAACGTTTGTTTCCAAGCCAAAAATTACTTATATTACATAATTATCTAAACTTTATAAATCTAATGTACACACACACAAACAAAATTGTATAAATATGCGATTGTACAGCTAAGTGAATGAATTCGCCGAAAAGAGTCTCTTCGCTGAACGCCTTCTTTTCTTTTATACAACTAAAAATAATCACACTTATGTTTGTCATCATTAAGGTGATTTGTAACTGTGCGATTGCGTAATCAGTATGGCCAACTTTATGAGATTATTCACTTCATTAACTAGGAAGTAGGCAGACGACAATTTAAATGACTGAACAGATATCAGTGAATACAACCCAGTATATTTCATAAAGATACGGATCAATAAATGACCTTTGTATTCACCTATGTTGTAGATCAGTGGTCAGCTTTGCATTTTCGTTAACTTGTAGAAAAAGTGGTCAGAAAATTAGTCATTCTATTAAAAGGGCATGACCTGTAGTCAATTAGTCTGGCAGTGTCAGAATAATAGGCCATGAGTCATTCTGTAAGTGGAAACAAATCAACATACCTGACGAAATTAATCAAGTAGATGTGGGGTGTAAATTGCATCAAGACAAGAAAAAGTAATTCAAGCAATCATTGAGTATCACTACAAAGACAGCGCAACTTCATTATATAGACACACTTAGATAGCCCTTTAACAAGACTAATCAAACGGTAACTGTCGACTAAGAAGTTCAATTAGGTACACGAAATTAACACAATAGACAAAATAGCTACAAGTAGTTTGAGAATGCTGTCAAAATTCAAGAACGTGTGTATATTGAACTCCGATCTAAATGCTTTCAAGCTTCTTCATATGAATTGGCATCACCTTACTTTAGTAGATAAGTGAAGTTGGCTGAATTACAGTTATGCATTTATCCAATTTCAATTATTCTAGATGCAATAACAAAGTTGTCTTCAACTTACTCAAACAAATCTCACATGCAGGTCGACCTCTTGATGGTGACGACTGTATGGGTTGAATCTCGAAGAGTGTGGCTGATTTCGACTCAGGCTGTAGATAAGCGGTTCCCGGTGACAATGGTGCACTGCCCTGATTTCTACCTATTACCGGAATACACATCGAAGTGTTGGGTGAGTTAGTGAACGAGTTGGCTGCATGTGCTTGATCACTATTGGTCGGTTCGTTCTGTTTGATTGTGTATATGCTAACTGGTAGTTTTTCGAATTCACTTCTCGTAATGAGTCCAGATGGCTGTGGACGTGTCGGTGACTCGGGCAAGAGTTGTCTACGTGTATTTGAGTCGTACCATTGTAGTCTTGACCTGTTGAATACAACTGGATCATCACTGGTGAATCTGGAATTAATTCAGTAAGGAGATTTCAAAAATGTTGAATTTATCTCACTCATCATAGAATAAATGAAAGGGTGATATAGAACAACGAATTGACAGGACCTCACATAGTGCAACATATATCAGCTGTTATTCGTTTTCAAGTCAATTCGAATTCTCCGTTGACTGATAATGTTAAGGCGAAATGCTTCACCTCTGTTTGTGAATAACTGTCAACATACACTTTCCCCACCATTATTACAAGCATCAAATAATAACGATTGCACAGCATTATAATACGCTCCTTATCTATAAACTATACAAAACGATGATAAGTGCCCATTCTCTAATAATCTAGGTGTATACTAAATACAGCAGAAGATTGAAATTGATCAGTATTTATTAGCCCTTGAAATACACCGTAGATGGCAAATCTCTTCTCCAAAATACTGAGAAGATAGCAGAGTAGCCTGATCAAAAGATAATAGTGCAGTGATATTGTCTGAATTTACTAACTGATTTTAACACCTCACAGGTTGTTACACGCTTTGATCTACTTGACCACAATAATGAGTAAGACAGTGAAATTGTCTATGCGATTCTCGTTACGATTTAGTAATCCACTGAAACCAACATCAGACACAGAAACATAAGTTCACGTCAAATACCTACAACTTCTTGAAGTCAAACACAGCATCATCTACACAATTCACTTGAGTTGAATACACACACTTAAATCTAAGCCACAGGCTACGGTCAGAGTCAAGTAACAGTGAGAGATAGCTCCTGGATACCACCTAGATGATTACACATTGCACATGCTTGACAAAATCTAATTCTAAGTGTTTTCTGTCTTAAGAGTGATTTTGACTATCTTTCGAATCATCATTTCAAATGTGTCATCAGTTGTATTCGCCAATTTCACCAAAGTCCTTCAGAACTAAACAGAACACTTTGCGTTTCCTGATTCGACACATAGATGTAACAATTAGCATAAGATTTCCAACGCTGTCTGACACACCTTAAAATTACCCATCCAACTAGCATAACCAAATGCTTCATTTGTGCTGACATACACAATATGAAGATTTAAATTTGTCCAGAGCAGGACTGTTTACAAAATCATATGCAGAGGGTTGTTTTCAAAATTGTGAGGAGTCTTTCTCCAGTTTCCAGATGAGGACTGTCAAGAAGCACAAATTAATATGTGCTGTTCTGTTTATACGACAGCTTCTAGAGCGAACTCATGTCTGCATAACGATTCTTCGGGACCCCAGAAATATTTCACACGTTTGATTTGGATGCTAGTACACAGGGCTTAAACATTACTGCACCAGTCCTCCTGAATATGCAAAAAGTGACAATATTATCGCGATGAAATTATTTAGAGAAATTTATACTAAACACATATTTAAATGGTGTGCTCACACTGCTGCACCTCCTATTTGATCAGACTTCAAGTCAAAGATTCGGGGAACAGCAACCACCTGCTTCAGTCCTGGCGCCTGTGCAGTGTCTCCCAGCTATCGCATAAACTACGAGACTTCGTGTGGAGCATATCTTGGTAGCCATAATGTACCACGTTAGTGTTTTAAAACTAATAACACAATCTCAACACATATATTAAGTCCTACAGAAATAAGTGTATTAGAAAGGGAACTAAATTTCATTGTAGCCATAGACAAGCTGAAACCTGAGGATGTCATCCCTAAAATAGAAATAGCACTAAGTGGGATAGACGGCTGACGAAGTACAGGCATAATGTGTACTAACATTAAAACGACAGAAAGGTGGAAAGCCTAACCTGACAAAACTAGAGATAGAAGCCCCAAAAAACCTTAAGCATAACAGGGATATAGTAATCACAAAATCAGACAAAGGAAATGCAACAGTAATATTAGACAAGTCAGACTATTTGGACGAGGTGAATACTCACATACAAACTGGACCATATGAGGAAATGAATAAGTCAATAGACACCTTTAAGAAATCCACAGAGGACCTCATACGCCGAATGAAGCCGTTTCTAGGTGAGTCTAAATGGTTTGATTTAATGCCCATAACTAATAACCCCAGTAAGATGTATGGTGTTGTTAAAGCTCATAGGTCAGGATACCCTATTTGACCTATAGTTGATTTTAGAAATTCACCTACTTATGAATTATCTAAATATTAAGCCATGGTATTAAATCCCCTTAAAAGCCACTCAAAATCTAGACTAACAAATTCTTATGAACTGAAACACAGGTAAGATCATTTAAAATTAGATAATGAATAGAAAATGGTTAGTTTTGACATTGTCAGTTTATATACACGTATACCAATAAATATGGTTGAAGAGGCAGTCAGAAACGAACTCATTTCTAACCAAGAACTTGAGCTTAGAACGAAAGTGCCACTTGAGGACATAATGCCGCGAGTGCAGCTATGACTGACTTTCACAATATTTAAATTCCAGGGGAAAATATGCAAACAAAGTGAGGGAGTTCCCATGGGGTGACCTTTATTTGGTTGTGGCAGATATATTCATGGATATGTGGGAAAACATAACGATTGGAACATTCAGCCTCACTCCGAAATTATGGTGGAGGTATGTAGATGACATATTCACTGCACTTGGAACACAAGACATAAATAGATTTTTCGAACAGAACAACTCAAAGGTGGAGGCAATCCGATTCACTTATGGATTGGAAAGTCAGGAAGGGGAGCTTCCAGTGTTAGATTGTAGCGTGAAAAGGAAAGAAGATGGGAAGTTAAACACAAGTGTTTACAGGAAACCCACAAATTCAAACAGATATTTGGACTTCTGATCACCCCATCCTATGTCATTGAAAATAGGATTGGTGAAATGTCTAAATAATAGAGCACAAGAACTAAGTAGTACCAAGGAAAATCTCAGACAGGAAGTGGGACAAATAAGAGAAGCTTTGAAACTTAATAATTACCCTGATAAATTAGTCAGAAAATATGCAGGAGAATGTAAAAATAAAACAAATAATGATAGTAGCAATAGTGATAATAATAATAATAATGACGACAAGCATGTCAAACATGTGCAAGACAACACCAAAAATAAGGAATCTAAATCATCAGTAGTAATTCCATACAAGGAAGGAACCTCGGAGGCCTTACGCAGAATTCTTAACAACGCAGGAATAAAAGTGGCTGGCATTCAAACCCGTAAACTCAATTAGAAACAAGCTTTGTTGGTTAAATGATTCTGCTGTGGAGCCTTTGAAACAAAACAATTTAGTTTATCTAATACCCTGTTGGAATGATTGTCAGGTCAAATACATGGGTAGTAGTGGTAGAACAGGGGCAGTCAGACTAGCCGAGCATAAAAACCTAGCAAAATCTAGATTTGTTGACCAGAATAAGATAAGAAATCTAGAGAATAGTTCAGCTATAGCACTACATGCAGTCACACACAACCATACAATAGGATGGGATAGGATGACAGTTTTAAAATCTAATGTCACAGGGTATAGGGAGAGATTGATAACAGAATCTTTGTTTATCGAATCAACTACAAATACATGTAATAGGAATGATTCATCACCTGTCCCCGATATCAGGAAAATTCTACTACCCATACGACAAAAAGGAGAGAACAAAGAAAACTATAAAACTCAAGTTTCCAAGTCATGTGATTATAATTGATATGATTATGGACAATAAATTTTGTTCGAAACGTCATCCGGTAAATAATACTGTTTCACTTTGTGATACATCTAATAAACAAACTAATATGGAATTACAACAGAAATATTATGATTTTTGCTAAACTCAAGGAGGAACTTTTGTTATCTCAATCTCGTTCGAAATTCTCTATCGCTAAGATCACATTTAATGTGTTCTCATGAAATAAACACCAGTGAAGCATAATTTACGTGAACGCAAGCAGAACTACCCATCATTGAAAGCTAAAGCAGAAAACGCCCCACTGTGCTTCCGTAAGGACTCAGAGCTCCTATTGATCTACCCAAGTGTTGTATAATGGGTGTACTGTTTTGTCAAACAGTGCTAATTTTGAAACTAAACCATGAATAGACGCGCGGACTATTTTTTTAAAATTTATTTTATTCCTTTGAGGTCTCAGTGGAGAATACAGCTGCAAGCTAGAGCCTTGAAGATTCAGTGGCAGTGGTGTATTTTACGGGATGGGTTTGCCAGCCACATGCACAACCTTTCCACTTTACCAGGCTTACTACCGGCTAAGCGAGGTTAAGGAGAGCGTCGGCTAGGCAAAATGTCAATTTGTCCGCTAATATGCATTCCCAAAATCAGTTTGTAAAAGATTCACAAGAATTTCATAAAACAATACCAACCTGTTCACACGCGAGTGACTGTAGCTTTCGTACACAACATTCCCATCTAGTGTAACCCGCACATGATCGCTGTCACGGGACATTCTTTGGCCAACTGGGATTTGTGAAGTACTCCTATAAGATATATGAAGGAACCACATATTAAAAATCACAAGTTATATATTCACAGTTTAAAGTATATACCGGTAAATTTCAAGCGCAGGTAGCGGCAGACATCAGGCACTTCATCAACACATTTTCATAAGATATCAAACCCCTGTAATAGCACAGTAAAATATTTCGAGAGGGATGCCTGAGAGCATGTATCTTCATGTGATGAAGAAAATGTCTTGTCTGCATACATTTATGAGTGACGTCATGTTCAACTGCACCGGAAACTTATACTAGAAGTTCACTTAATATTAGTATTATCATGTGTCAAAATTTAGATCTCGTATCACTTTAGCCACTAACTGAAAAGAACTTTTCAGTACTAAATTAAGAGAGATCCACACATCTTTTTACAATAAGAATACCAAACATTCTCTAATCCATCGCTAGATTGCCATTATTTTCAGAGAACGTAGTCGTTGAAAGTATACCGAAATGAGGTGAGAAAATTTTGGACATTATTATATCCACAAGGAGAACAACCCACTCTTCTGTAGGAGAACACGTTCATTTGAATCACAGGGAATACTGCAAGAATTAAACTTCAATGAAGTGTTTGATAGTTGGTCTGAGCCATGTAGATGAGTGGGGTCTGCGTGATTTGGGTCCTCGAGATGATGAGAACTAATTGTTTGAGACTGTTGGTGATATTACTCAAAATAGTCATCAGTTGTCCAGATTCAGATACACTCCATTGTCAGAAGTACATATATAAATTTGCTGTACTATTTCGGTGCTAAGAGAAAGCGGGACAAATGGTTCTCAACGACTTTTGTAACTGCTGCGCAGTATTGGAAATTTGTCCCATAATTTTTACTCCCATAGACTACAGAGATTTCGACACAATATAGATGACTGATAAACTTAAGCCCAGACAAACATGCACGGCTGCAATAGAACACTAAGTTTCAACTTTATTGCCAAGAAAATCCATCAGATAAAGTAAGTATGGTACCCTTCGTTAGCTATCAGTTCATGCTCATGTGTAGTATCAGTAACTGAATATGCTCACCACTGGATATTTAATGACCACAAAAGCCACAGATTTAACGTTGAGCAATGCCCATTCACGAAGTATTAAGATTAATGTAGCTACTTCACAGAAGAGGCTTGGTACTTCTCATCGGTACAAAATATTGAAAGGTAGGACACAGGTTCTGGGGAGGAAGTGTTATCACTAGGTGCTTTAATGTATCCAATATTTAAAGCTAACCCAAATGATGCACAGTAACCAAGTAATTCCTCTCATCTGAATTTCTATGCGTTTATGGAGTTTACAGCCTGTGAATGAACAAACACAGCCTCAGTTATCATACACCGAAACTCATCTTTTTACTTCTTCACAGACTCCCTCGTCTTAATCTTCTGACTATTAGATTTCAAGATATCATTCAATTAGCGGTTAATTAATTAAATACAACAACATGAATGTTAAGGTCCACATTGTCTGTTTATCGCACATGAACATCACAATAATTAGCAATAACATGGATGATTAATAGCAACGAGAAATATGCGAATATCCACTGAACATTATTTCATCCATTAGGTGGCGTTCCGACGACTTACACATAGTAAGATAAAAGCATTCTAAGTATTCCTGCTTCTAAGAGATACTAGTCAGCTAAGTTTAGCCACGTGAATGACATATAACTAAGCGCCTCAAACGATTAACAGCTTAATAAAATATGAGGTATTATATTTGGCATCAATGTCTCTTGTGGAGAATTCTCTCAAAAAGATGAATGCTATTTACACCGATGATGAGAAGGCTACAGGAGTAGTGATAAAAACTGCTCACGTTATACGACACTTGATTTACTACTGAACAATATAGGAGACATAATCTAGGACGATCAACAGTTTGTATCACCTAAATACTGCCTCACCTTGGTTTACGCTTCACACATCATAAGCAACAGACTCAGACATATCCAAATTAAGAGCTTAATACAGCCAGCGGTGGACGACTGCAAGCTGAATCATGGAAGAAACAAAGATACTTGCTAGGCTGAAACACAGGTGCTAAGCAAAGTAGAAGTTGCATAGGAAACAAGTTCTTGAAAAGATGAAATCATAGTCCACATTCATACATATTTTAATATATTGAAACCCAAGCTTACTATAATGCTGGATTAAATCTCACTAATTCTGAAGTAATACTAACATTCTATAGTGAGTATATTTTGAATCTGTTCTGAAATGGATTCTTTAATGGCACAGACTCAGTGCTGGTTTTCAGCATGATTGGCACTAATTCAGCATCGTGTTTTTTTGTGAGCAGTTTCAGGAGTAGATCAGAACCTAATGGGTTTGCTAATCAGCGTTGTTCCAGCTCTCACAGGACATATTAAGGACGGACTAGCGTACCTCAGAACTAAATAACTTAATTCACCACCCGGCTCTATTTTTAAGCACAAACAGCGTTATTTCAGAACGCAATGGGTAGATCAAATATTCATTTACCATAAAAAGACATTATCGACGCATAGGTTAGAATAAGTTTAGAAATGTTGTAAGTTTTGGAATATAATTAATTAGTCACCTGTAGTGAGAAGGATATAACTGTCGTGGATACATTGCTGAGTCAAATATTTAACGTGCCTTTCTTCAATTTCTTGATGTACCTGCTGGGCTGCTTCCTCGTGCACCACGAAGTACCAACTGATGTCGGGATTGCTGATAAATGAATTCCCCGGGGAATACCACGAAAACAAATTACAACTGAACATCTTGTTTCACTCAACTACCTATTGAACAACTTCAAACTATATGGTATTCAAACTGAAGTAGTTGTTATCCAATGTGATAAAAGTAAAAATATTATTTGAGAGACTTCTCCTTTCATTTCACGACATGCTTTATGATTTGCAATGTTCACTTTACAGAGACATCGATGTGGTGACCGGATCAGAGGACTTATTGGCTCACCTTGAACAATTAATTACAGTAGCTGCACTTTGAAACTTGTCCAGCAAGTTTAAATATTTATTTTGAGGATATAAAGGAATCAGCAGTCTTAAAGGGCATAACAAAGAGTTACATGTTGGTTAATATTTTGAAAGTCAACAGCTATTCTTCTAAGTGAAGTGATGTTCATACGGCATATATTGTCTCGTTGTGTGAGTCGCTCATTGCTTTTGTCCTGCTTCTTTACTTTACCTAGGACTCATCAACGTAACATGCGCGCGTTTCAGCGAGCAAGTCTACCAGCTACGACTCATAGCTCACTGCATGTGTCGTTTGTAATCGTGAAACGTGGTCTCGATAGTGCAGAAGCTATTATACAGTAGATACCATGGTATTTTCTGTCTCACCTACCATCGGAGCCTTCAAAATCCAATTGAGCATGGACTCAATCTTTCCGAAACAAATCTAGAAATAAATTTTCATTGAAATTCATTTAGTGAATGCTTCACACTGAGACTATGGGGATATTACGTCAAAGGTTTGGAAAGCAATTTGTGATATCCCATAGTGTTTTTGAGACCTTAAAGGTAATGTGGCGCATTTAAGTGATAATTCCGAGGAACTCGCAGGGTTTTTGGATAATTTAATGGTGTACGGGAATACTCTCGTTTATCTTAACTGTATGGATGAGTTGAACTCAAGCTCTCTTCTTGACGCAGTCGCTAAGAGGTTACTCGTCCGATTACAAAGAAAGTTCATAAAAATCAGCTCCCGTTTAGAAGAGGATGTTTTATAGCCCTGGTTGGATGATATTGTGAGACTGGCAAAAGACAGTGCCAATCAAGCGACGGGCAAGTTTGCCAGCATTTTGCATCCAACAGTAGAACCTAAGGAATCAGTAATTATAAGGAAGTCACTTGTAGTGAAGGCACAAGGCATGACGAGATAGGAGGAATGTATCATTGGCCGTAACACACACCAACTTAGTGATTGTAGTAGTTTCATTGCAATGTCTCCTGTAGAAAGGTTGAGAGTGGCAAAACGGAAGCGCTTGTGTTTAAGTTGAACTGTAAGGCAACAGACAAAAGAGGTGGCGGTTCAACAGATTTGCATCCACTTTTGAGGATAGTAAAGGAACCGGCGAATTACAGTAATTGTAACAGTACCTTTAGACCCCATGACGAGGATGGTGCGGTGAAGAAGCCTGTAGCTGCGACTGATAAGCCACTGTTGAATAACGTGTTACAGACGACACCGCACTTTGTGCAGAAGAAGAGAGTTACAATTTCAGAGTCCAGTTCTGACTCCACAAGTTTACAAGGTATTACTAGTCAGACTAAAGCTATAAAATCTTTAAGGATCCATGAGGAAGAATCCAAGTCATCTACTGCTGTTATTAGAGAGGTTGGAAATGATGAAGTCGACTATATAAACGGCGGTAAAGTGAATATTTGTGGTAATGATCATGATAGTGCACATTTGTCTTTGATCATGATGAGATGAGTGGAATGCCTGCTACTACTGAATCGAGCAAAGGTTCTGCACAACTTGAACGTGAAGTAGAATTAAAGGCAGATGTGGTGGCAGAAAGTATGGATGCTCATAAGACCATCAGTGTAGATGATCCACGTATAGCCCATTTATCGACAGATGTTAATGCTAAACTGGAGCTAATCACAAAAGGTAGCAGTGGGGGTAATCCAGTGGTTAGACAATCTTCTAAATATTGAACAACAGCAGGTGATGCACCGCTAAGTTCACCAACGTGTATCAGTCAGTCGTCGTTGGTGTTGTCATCCATAGTGATAGTGCCGTCCATGAACCCATGTGTCTTATGCTGTGATTATGCTATTATCGGTCCGTTTGAAAGGACTAAAGTGAATGGTCAGTTTGGTGAGGATAAGCCAACTGTGTATGAGAGGGTAATTGCTAAACTGACTTGCACGAATAAAGGTTTTTCAGGCTTCAAGGTACTATTTGAATGTTATTATCTGTGGTGTAAATTACTCTGTGCCTTCGCCTGGTTGGTCAATTACGTCGTATGTTTGTTAGTCATCTACATTTCACGATACAATGTCATGGGCGTGTCACCATTCAGAGTTGAGGATATAGATGATAGAAGGAGGTCAGCAAATGAAATCAACGATGATTTTCCAACTTAGGGCGTCAACCTGAGAAGTATTGTAGGCGTCCTGAGTAAGTCCTACAATTTTTCAAGGGTAGTACATTGGAGCGCAGTCCATCGTACTTAGTGTGCTGTTTTGTACATATGTTCATGTTGTATATATTGATTTGGTATCAACTCTGATCTATTTGTTGGTTAGTTTCGTTTGTGGCCGAACCTTTTTCCACTTATATCGACAACCTGAGAGGGGTTGCAGGCGTACTGGTGTAAGTCCTGCGATTCTTCAAAGGAATTACATCAAGACATAGTTTGCGAGGTTGTGTACTGTTTGTATATATGTATGGTGTGTCATATCAATTGGTGTTTTTGGATTCGCTGTGTTTACTTGTTTTTGTATTTTGTTGTATTGCATAATTTTGCTAAAATTTTCGTCGTGCTTACTTGTGAAGTTGTTTCGAGTCTTCTACATCTGTGAATGAATTGATTGATGTTGAAAACAACACCGGGGAGGCTAGTGCTGAGAATGACATGCACACGTGGACAAGGATTAGATGTGGAATCAATGATTGGGAATGAATGTGCCGATTTAGGCTGTGGTCCCACACGCCGGAGAGCGAGAGTGTAGACGACTGAAGCTTGCATACGTCACCGTTACTAGGACCGAGATGGAATGAGTGACAAGTGAAAGCAGTGGTAATTGGTACTGAATGGACGAGGGGGTGTGCGAAGAGTATCATGAGGTGCTGCTATGATCATGTTGCTTTCCGCAAGAGTCATTCTAGCAAGTGGCGATTGTGTTGCAAGATGTCAAGAGGATGCATTTAACTGGAAGGCGTAGGTCATCGTCGACGAGTAAGATTGTGCTGTGGGTATGCCTGTGGTGTGTTGCTTTGCTGTTTTGTTTTCCATTTCAGCTTTGTCCTTGTGGCCCGGGTCCTTGCACTGGCATCCAGGTCAAAGTGTATTGGTCTTGGTGGAAAAAAGGGATGGATCCTTTATTGCCGGGGAGTGTCAATGTAGATGAAGAATGAACGATCAATTCATGGTTGTTTACTCAAAAACAACTCCATATTTTGGTGAGAGTCACCGATACTGCAGTCATCGTTCCATCGTACGCTGCTCGTTAGAAAACAGAGAAATACTATCAGAAGTATTATTGTGATTAATTGTTATGACATTTATTCTTAGACTTTGTGTTTAATAACCTTATGGTTAGTTCCATATTGGTGCAAGAATCAGGGATTCTCGAGTTACCAATCTGTGTTCTGTTATTTCACATTGGTTCTTGCACACTGTTGCTGAAGAACAGCGTTAAGTTTAGTGTAGTTAGACCTGGACACTGACATACGACCTAATTTTGGATGTATCTTTCTATATTCACAAGTGACACAAGTGGATAAAAGAGGGAACAGAAAGCGTTGGCTGACGACGTACATGCGTCGCAGATCTAAAAAATATATATCTCTTCCTATCTATGTAGGACACACCAGTTATATAAGCATGGATAAGTATCGTTCAAATTACATAAATTCGCTTTATGGTGAGATTACATGGTTGCTGTCCATTTTGTCTTCAGTTTGTGGGAACAATCTTCTAACTAATCATTCAATGGAGCACATCAAGAAATATAGAAATATTTTCTTCGCATCAACAAAAAAGCCCAAATGTGTTGGACGGGTTACAAATATTTGGGAAAAATTAAAGCTTGAAGTCATTTCCCTCATATGAGTTTGGTGTGTGTGGCATCGTATCATGTTCTTGATTTATATTAAATAAATAAATAAATTTATTCTCATATTCAAATTGGGTATTAATTTGAAATGAGGGATATATTTGTATAATTTTGTCAGCACTTTTATCGTAAGTAACACCAGATGTGAACTCTACTGAATGTAGTTTAATATTGATTATTGTCACCCAGATTTGTTTTACTGTACTCACGTCAGACAAAGCCACCATTTGCCACTGCATGGTTGTTCCGTACGAGTAAGTTGATTAACACGTAGAAAGCTATTTGTAAGCCATTTTAGATCATTGACGTTGCTTGTATAGGATGCTGTGCAGCGCCTTGCTTTGGTGACAGTGGATATTTCAAGGATGCTGAGTCATAACTACCCAAACCTTGAAGGATGATATATGAGTAAGTGATTTCAATTGTTTCTCAGCTTCACTCTAACTGTAGATCTGTGCAACTTCAAGTAGAGGGGAAGAGGCGAGCAGCGAAGTACCAGAGAGCAAATAAAAAGTATGTGGACACGAATGGGACCTTAATGTTTGTACATATATGTCTATATTCGTTGTACATTGCCGTCTAGTAAACATATATATTTATTTTACTTAGTCTTTTTTTGCATTTATGCCACTATATTATGTATCGTTTATGGAGTAATTAGGGTATTTAAGCGCGTTTTTTAGGTACCGTAGTAAACTAATACTTGATTCTTTCTAGGAATAAATAGTTTGTTAATGTAATCAGAAGAGTGAAACAGTCTGTACAGAGAGAGTTTGAAACTCATAACCAAGGTACAAGTTCTGGCTTCTAGGGGCAAACCGTCCCATATTTTAGAATTCATGGTTGAGGAGGAGTTTTCTAGTTGTAATGATTTAAGGCCTTTATTGTCACTGTGCAAGTTTGGTTACGCAGATC